AGTATGTTTTATTTCAAACCTATAAAGAATATGAAAAGGCAAGGATACTGGCATGACACATGATGTAGGCTACAGCAGCATGACATCATCACTGTGGCTCCTTCACATACTATTGATACTGTTATCAATCATATATATAAACTATAATCTTACACGTCGCACCTTTAAAGGCAAAAATTTGAAATGGTCACATAGTTAGCTAAAATGTAAACTGTAAGGCTAATCTCAGGAACACTTTGAGGAATTTTTCTTCAAATTTGGTACAAACATTCACATGGACTCAAAGATGAATTTTATTTGATTTGATGGTCAAAGGTCAAGATTGCAGTGACCTCACAAAACACATTTTTGTCAAGCATCAACTCTCCAAGGATAGAAAATGAAGCCAACACTGGAAGTGCTAAAAAACTGCAGCTCCTCTAATGACGGCATGAAATACCGTTGAAATAAATATTTACAGCCTTGTAACATAAAAATATTTTTAGTCTCTTTAGCTCCTAACCGCTCTCAGAAAACCTGTGGTTGACGTCGCAGAGGGCTACGACCATATTTATTCACAGTTGATAGTTTTCTGCTTAAATCAAGAATTCACATGTTGATAACCCCTGAGTGGTTGGTGGAGGTCGACGGTTCTACTGCAACATATTGCTAGTCTGAGCTGACACAGAGGAGAGCGTGTAACTTGTATTCAGGATCTAAAAGAAAAATTCAAACGTTAGAATACACACTAGAGATGATAAATGAATCAGTCAGTGATAAGAAAGTTTTTTTGAAAACCTGTGAGGTCAGGCAGAAGGAAGAAACAACAACACAGCTGTCTAATAAAAACCTCTCACCTCCAGTTGCTGTGGTTTTCCTGATCACATGATCCTGAGGCTGTGATGTGTGTCCAGACCCTCTAGAGTTTATTATATGGTCCTCGTAGCTAAAATCAGAACAGTTTCATGGAACCAAAAATAGAAATACTTTTGAGATTTGGGGTTTTCATAGAACACCAACATGTACAAACAACTGGAGTAAAGTCATATGTACAAATTATACTAAAATACATTTAAAGCTGCAGGTTTCACACAAAAAGCAGAAAGAGGTGAAGTGATAAAATCTTAACTTCAGTTTATAAAAATCTGTTAGATGCAAAGGTAAAGAAATAGCCTTCAATGATACTACACCACAGACTACACAACCCATACAGACATCTACCTTCAGGCTGCAGATACAAGTCACTCATATTCAGGACTGAACCTCACTGACTCAACTCACGAAACTATTTTAGCCCACGGACTATTTTAACCACACTTAACATCTTTAACTGTTTTACACTAGCTAAGCTGAACTTTCATACTACCTCTGTGTTTTTCCTTTTTCCAACTATGTTGCTGTGTTTGTACGGAAGCTGAGAAAGGCCATACTCATAAATATTTTCTTCATCCCGTTATCTCAAGATAACAAAGCTCATTTACTGTCGAGATTAATTGACATATTATCCAGAGGAAAAACTTTTTGTTATCCTGATTTACGAGATAATTGTCCCGTTATCTGGAGATAACACATTCCCTCATTTTTTCCCATTATATGATTTTGTTAGTCAGAGCTCAAGATGTGCCAAGCCAGTATTGCAGACGGAAACTTAGTATTAGTAGTAGAGCTGTAAACTGAAAATGTCAAGACTACAGATTTGACCAATGCATCAGAAGATATGATTCAATTAAAGGCAGAAATCACGCTGTGTCATACAAGATCATTTCAAATCAGTCCTCGTCAGCAACGAGTCTCAAAGATTGTTGCTAAAGGAGAGTGTTACTGCCAGTGTTGTGCATGATCGTTATTGAACACATTCCATATTTTTTGTGAACACTGAACTGAACAAATCAGTTTACAAATGGATGAACGTGAACGCGAGCTCCGTTTTACGACAGTTTTTACAGTCACGCCGCATGACGTCTCCATAGACACGGCCAAGCTTGGCTGGTGGTAGAGGTACAGACAGTACAGACGATGCAGACGGTACAGACGTACAGACGGTGCAACGGTACAGACGGTACGACAGTACAGACGGTGCAGACGGTGCAGACGGCACAGACGGTGCAGACAGTACAGATAGTACAGACGGTGCAGACCGGCACAGACGGTGCAGACGTACAGACGGTTACACAGTACAGTACAGAGACGTACAGCAACGGTGACCACGGTCTAACTACTGCTGAAGCCAGTTGAGCATTTGCAGCAGCCTAGGAGCAAAACAAGTTGAAGACTCAGATGGATTATATTCATATACAGGTTTTAAATCTAACTAATATCTAGTGATTCTTCAGTGGTGTACAATAATTGATTTAGGTTTGGGAGTGGCAGTTGATTGGGCTGCTTGGTGGACAGGTAGAAGGAGGTTCTATTGAAAAAAGAATATCGATCGGCCTATTTATTTTTAAAAAACAGAACAAAATGAACGTGAACTAGTTTTCCTTTTTGGAAGTGTGAAGTTAGTTCAAAACTTAAAAAAAATGAACTATGAACATGAACTAGTTTCATTTTCATCTGTATGAACTGAACTTTGAGGTAATTCTTTTTAATTGTGAACTGCACAACACTGGTTACTGCGACTTAGTGTAAGAGGTTCAGCCCAAAATGTTTTCTCCGGATAAATATCTCATCATGTCTGGATAACGAGCTTTGTTATCTTGAGATAACGGGATAAAGAAATATTTGTGAATATATATTTAATATCGTTTTCTCGGCTTCCGTATGTTTGCATTGACACTTTTACACTATTGAAGTTCCTGACGATAAATAAACTAATTTAGATTTCTAGTTGAGTTGAGGTTATTTTGATACTGAAGCTTAGATAATAATTAAGGTGGTGTAATCTTTTGTGTCAGTCAAAATGGTGACCCTTAGACCACATTGTTAAGACACGCAGTGGGCAAACTGACTGACACAGCATTTTATAAGAATAGTTTGTCATGGAACTCAATTCAAAAAATGTTCAGCTGATCCCTGTCCTCCTGTTTTCAGTGTATTTAATGCATAAGTTGTGTCAGCATGGCCACAGTTTATTGCTTTGCTGCATTTTCAAACAAAGGTTGAAGTCATATATTCATCAACATTTTCTACAAGTTTTTGTTAGCCGCCTCTCGCACAGTGTGATACTCACCTAACCTGTTGTGGCACAAGTGTGACTTCAGTAAGTCAATCAATCAATCAAACTTATTTGTATAGCACTTTTCATGCAGGTTAGTGCAGTTCAAAGTACTTCCCAAGAGAAATGATAACTAAAAAGAAATGGACAAATCCAGTAAAGAAAACCTGACAATGACATACAAAAAACTGATTTTTAAAAGACTTAATAATTAAAGAACAGATAAAAATAGAATAAAATACATACATTAGAACATAATACAATAAAATAAGTAAAATAAAATAGTGGACATAAAAAATGAAAAAATAGTGAAATTAAAAGTGACTAATGACTAAAATCCAGTCACCTGTAGGGATCTTCCTCAGTTTCATTCTGCATATGGACAAAGTTGTATCTTATTCATTTTGATCATTTTCAACTGAACAGATTTCACATCCCACCTCTTTACAGTCCTGTCCCCCAGTAAAGTACAATGGTGTGTGTGTGTTTTACCACGTGCGTCTTTAGTAACATCAGCAAAAGATGAATTCTGTGGTTTTCTTGTTTGTACTTGTTGATGATGATGAGCAATCTCAGTGGCCTAACCCCCCCCACCCCACACCTTTAGGAGACCAGAAGCAGGTCTCAGTCTGTTCGCTCCAATGGGAGAAATGAACAAGATCACCAGATTATATGACGGATTCTTTCGCTCCATAGTCCACCAAAATAAATATTGTCCCATTTTTACAAGCCCACATGTCTTCAGAACATTCTGATATCAAAATGACATTTTTCAGATCAAACAGATCAGGAGAAAATTTACTTTGTTCAAGACCTTCCTCTGTCTCAGTGCGACAATCTCACGAAGATCTGGTTTATACATCAAACCATAATTAAACTTTGAAACTTAAAACAAAATGTGTTTCATTGCTTAACGATTGCTGTTGTTGTATGTTGTCATTATTTAAGTATTTTGGAGGAGACAAAAACAGAGAGTATTAGCCTATTAAACTGAAATGAGACTTGCCCGAGCTTTATGCAGCAACAGCTGTAAATAACAAGAAAAAACAGATCTGTCTTTTCTTTCCCAAAGGGAATGCAGAGAGGTGAGTCTAGACAGGGATAGATTTTGATATTAACTACTGTCACATTTCATGGCAGTTGGCTTCGCTTGAGGGAGGGGTTGAGGGACAAAACACCCCACTTAGGAGACCGGAACTGTGTCCCCATTCCATACCATTTGGTGCTGCCTGTAATGCAGACATCTTCTGTATAGAGGATCTTTGATCAGGATCTGAGCAGTGAGTCAAACACAGTGTGTGGTGTGTGTGTGTGTGTGTGTGTGTGTGTGTTGTGTGTGTGTGTGTTCGTGTGTGTGTGTGTGGTGGTGTGTGTGTGTGTGTGTGTGTGTGTGTGGGTGTGTGTGTGTTGTGAGGTGCAGACATTCCTCTGCAGACCAGAATTTGTACCAGAGAAACTGTAATGACAGGCTGGACCCACAGAGCGGCTCTGGTAGAAAACAGGGAAACAGACGGACACAACACACACCACGCACACACACACACAGCACAACACACACACACACACACTGTTCCCTCCTTCTCTCTGGCTCTCTCTTCTTCTTCCATCTTACCATCTTAGAGTCCATTCCCCTTCTCCAATCCTCCGGTC